GTCTGTCGAGGAGACAGAGTCTGAATGAAAAAAAAAAGCCAATTGTTAGTGATATGTATTTATGCTCAAATAACCTATCTACGTGACTTTACCGAAAGACCCACATAATTTTAATTCCTGCAGTCACGAAAGCTTTGAGTCAAGTTAATATTGACTTTAGAGGGGGGGGGGGAAGGGAAATGCAACAATGATTATACATTAGTTTCCCAACAAAGCAACCACAGCTAGCGCGCACAACGAGAATTATACAACGCGACTTTAAAAGAAGATGCGCGCGCGCACACGTGCTTGGGACGACATCGAGACAATGAGGATCACGTGGGTTAGAGGGCACGCACGCTGCTTAATGACATCGTCCAAACTGTTAAGAAGGGCGAGTTGGGCAGTTGGGCAGAGCAAAGTCGCTTAAGAAGGGACAAAGGCCATTGGTCAAGAATAGTGACGTGATAACAGACGACACAATTGTGATATTTCAAGATATATAAAGTTCACGACAACGAATTAATTAGAAAAACAACATATACTTAATGTGTTTCATCCATTCAATGAATCATCTGCAAACCATTTCATGGGGGTAATTAAATGCACGACGCCGATTTTTTTGTTGATGGATTATTTCTCTCGCAACTAACAGCATGTCTGCGGACTTTCATAGCCAATGTGATTCATAATTCGTTTCATTTGGATGACATCGTTGTGAATGTAGCTACAAATGGCAAAGAATGACCGAGCAATCCAACTCTCGGCTGGGGTAACCAGCTACAAATAGCAAAGAACCCACGTCAGGGGCCGCACTAAAGGCCACTAAATGAAGAGCACCGCTCGACACGACGATCACACTCACAAAGACAGATTTTTCCCTGCGTAGTCTACATTGCCTACTGGGGCAAGTGCTGTTAGGGAACACCTATTTAGGCTAGCATTGGCAATTGCTCAAGGTCATATGTGCCACCTTTGTCTCCCCCAGTGCTGATGTTTACACGTGGGCACTAGGTACTCATTTATGACCGAGCCGACCAAGGGGAGGCTCAGGACCGGTTCTGAAAATCGCCACTGATGTTAGGCGAGAACGGGGATTGAACTCGAGTCGCTCAAATCGTAGCACAGTGCCCTAACAACCGCGCACGCAGACACAAAGATAACAAAGATCCCCCGTATAGCCTTAACAGACTGTAGGGGCAAGTGCTGTTAGCGAGCACCTATGAAGGCCGGAACGGTACACGAGGGGGTGGGTGGCCAGCACCACGCCCGACCGCCTTTGTCTCCCCAGTGGCGATGTTTGCACACCGCACCAGATACTCATTTAAGGCTGAGTCGACCTAGGGGAGGCCCAGGACCCGGTTCAGATCATCGTCACTGGTGTTAGCCGTGTGCGGGAATCGAACTCGGGTCGCCAGGTTCATAGCGCAGCGCGCTAACCGCTACACCACCACTCCCCACTAGACACACACAGACACACACACACCTGCAGGCGAGAACGCTAAGAAGATGTGACAGTGTAAATATTTGCGTTTGGCCTCCGACTTTCGAGGAATCCCAGCACATCGATAATTTCCGCTGTGCAAAAGAGCCAAAGAGACGATTAAGAGCGTAACTTGGGGGCAGGGCCGCGTGACAGAGCGGGGGGGGGGGGGGTCACAGTTCAGTGTCCCAGGACGCTGTGTGATGGCTTTGCTGTCAGGCGATGGGACGGAGGCAATTAATGTTGGACGTCAAGTCACTCCTAGATGAACCCCTCCCGATGGCGAATCTGTGAGGTAACGGGGGTCGTGTGAACATCCAGGCTGGTCAATGCGGGTTGGTGAACGAGGGTCAGATTATGTCGGTGTGGGTCGGGGAAGGATGTGCACACACACACACCATACCAACAGCAAAGACTGACCTACACACCACGCACACACACGCACGACACACACCATATACACTGCACAGACTGACACACACACCACGCACACACACACCATACACACTGCATAGACTGACATAGTATACACGATGCACACCACATACACACCATACACACTGCATAGACTGACAAATTATACACCATGCACACCACACACCATAAACACTGCATAGACTGACATATTATACACCATGCACACACACACATAGACTAACATACACACCACACACACACACCGTACACACTGCATAAACTGACACACACACCATGCACACACACCATACACACTGCATATAAGTCACACACAACATCTCTATACACACACACCTCACACAGTACTGCAGCACATCCTGTGCTCACACTGCACCGGCATATACACGACACGCACACACGCGCATCACACACATGCATTATATATGCACAGTACACCACACACACACTTTATACACAGACACACATAAACCATACACAAACGTACTGTACATTCCACACAAAGACCTATATGCACACATTGTGCATATGCAAATGTTCAAGTACTGTATCAACACACGTGTTATTACTGTACGTACACGTAGACAGCTGTAGACATGCAAACAGAACACAAACACACACATGTACAGTACTACACACACGTACACAGTACTGCTATAGAGGCACACGTGTACTGATATCTACACACACACACATGTACAGTCCTGCTTTACACGTACACACACAACGGTGTACTCCACAGCACTGCTATACACACACAAAGTCATACACATGTAGCAGAATCTATACGCTATGTACACACACGTGTGTGTGTGTATGTAGATTTACATGCGTATCATGGCTTAATTTAAGCCGAAGCTGTCCTGGGGCTGAGCTCCGGAAAATACCCCCCCCCCAAACCCTTCTCTCAGACTCGTCACTCACTCGCGTGTGCAATATTCATCACCACGGTCACAGAGCGGGCTGGGCTAAGCACATTGTGGGATTAGGGGCAATGCGCATTGCACAAGGAGTGAGTGGCGGGGGGGAGCGGTGGCGCAGCGGTTAGCGCGCTGCGAACCCCGGCGACCCGAGTTCGATTCCCCAGTGACGATTATATCTGTAACCGGTCCTGGGCTCTCCTCCCCCCCCTAGGTCGACTCAGCCTCAAATGAGTACCAGGTGTGGTGTTGAAACATTGCTAATGGGGAGACAAAGGTGGTCGGGCGTGGTGCTGGCCACCCACCCCCACCTCGTGTGCCACAGGGACGGTCCTGGGCCCTCCCCCTAGGTCGACTCAGCCTCAAATGAGTACCTGGTGCGGTGTGCAAACATCGCCACTCGGGAGACAAAGGCGGCCGGGAGTGGTGCTGGCCACCCACCCACCCCTCCAACAGCACTTGCCCCAACAGCCTGGTAAGGCTACACGGGGAACCTTTGTCTTTATGCGTGCTTGTCCGAGTCCGATTCCCTACCGGGGGGAACCTCAGTGGTTTAGGACATTTGAAAGAACCCGTCAACAGGGTTCGGCCTTAACTTAGTACCTGGTGCGGTGTAGATCAGAATTCGGGAGACAAAGGCGGCCTCGGCGTGGGCGGATAATTGATCAGGGCGGATATGCGACGGGGCGAGTGCACTAACGTAGAATCCACAAAGCTGTCAACCCCTTATCAGTGCCCGACCTTATTACAGACCAATTCAGACCTCAATGGTCAACCCGTGCCCCTTATAAATATCAACGTGCATCCTATACACTACATTATACACTACACTACTATACACTACACTATACACTACACTACTTTAAACTATGCTACATACCTGTTCAACCCCTTATCAGTGCCCGACCTTATTCATCTCAACGTTCATCCTACAAAATCCCATCACAAGGGCAGAAACACAAACAAATAGACAAGATATCAATGTATTTGCCCGTATTGAAACGGCTGCACGCCGTACGGACCCGAAAACTCAATTCCCCTGTACAAGACCACGGGGCAAACCGCATGGGGGGGGGGATCGACACGGTCTTATGTGCTTCGATGTCAGCCCACTGCTGTGTAACGGCAGGGTAAGTGACCATACTTCCCCTATAACGTCAGCTCCGGTTGATGCAAGGCGGAGAGCACACCAGACGTACGGTACAACAATGGATTTCGTTGGCCTTACTGCCCCACAGCAGACAACGTAGACACACCGCATAGCAACTATGTTTCATGCATGGCTAACACCCCATACGAGCACTGTATAGTTACCATCCAAGGTTCATCCCTATGCAAAGCTTACGAGATTAGCGCGGTTGGCTACGTACGGTGCGAAAGAAGTTCAGCATGCAGACAGTCGACACAAAGGTTGTAGAAAAGCTATAAGCGACACCGTCTGTGTGTATGTGTGCTATGGAGGAGGCTCGTGAAGGACGCTGCTGCTGCTACTGGGCAGTTGGGAGGCTGTCGCCCTCCAGCAACAACGGAGGGCAGAGGAGCGACGCTCACAACAACGAGCGGAGCGCAGGGCAGATAAAGCACAGCGAGTTTGCACAGTAGTAGGGGGTACAGCTGGTGGTGCATCTACCGATCATCTCGGTCAGCCAACCCATGGCACCTGCTGGGTCTGTCCCGAGACCTCCTCCTGTCGTCAGCGAGCCTTCGACACTTCACGTGGCAGCCTCAATGTGCACCTAGCCTGGCACAGGCGCCGTGGTGACGTTACCGTCACTTCGTGGCGAATGGCGGTTGTTGTTGTCTTAACCATGGCCTTCATAGGTGCTCGCTAACAGCACTTGCCTCAACAGTTTGTGAAGGCTACACGGGGGATCTTTGTCTTACCCGTGTGTCCTTTGTGGGGAGCGGTGGCGGAGTGGTTAGCGCGCTGCGCTCCGAACCCGGCTACCCGAGTTCGATTCCCACTCACGGCCACCCAACACCGATTTTCTGAATCGGTCCTGAGCCTCTCCATCCCCCACTAGGTCGACTCAGCCTCAAACGGGTGCGACGTAGATATTGGCATCGCTACTCGGGAGACAAAGGCGGCCGGGCGTGGTGCTCACTAAAAGCACGTGCGCCAAACATTCTTTTGAAGGCTACAGCCGGGGTGATGTTTGTGATGTTGCGCCGCGTATTCTTACCCGTTTGTCCTTTGCCCAGGGTCTTCTCGAGTCGGTAAGGTCCCACATACTGGGTGTGGACAGCCGTCGCGCTGCCCGACATATTCACCAACAACTCGCGTACGACAACCACCAACACTACACCCACCGGCAGAGCCGACCCACTACTACTGCTGCTGCTGCACCGCGCGGAATCATCGACGACGGAGATTCATCAGCTCCCCCTCCCCCCATGTCGCATCATCCTCACGGAGACCACACATGGCAGCAGCGGCGGCACATGTGTGTGTGGTGGCTCGAATGAAGAGGATGTGATGATGATGATGGTGCTGAAGATTTTGATGATATCAAAGCAACGATAACGATCGCGACGATGGTGTGATATTAGGATGAGATTACAATGATGATCATATTGACGATGATAGTGATGACGCCAGATTGAGTAAGATATATTTAGGATAAGCCCAAGGAGATGATGATGATGATGACGGTGGTGGTGATGGTGGCAGTGATGAGAAGAATAGATTATTAACTGACGGTGCTTTGCCGACCGGAACTATGAAGACGATGGTAGTGACGACGACGACGACGACACGCTAACGATGCGACAGACTGTAACGAGGTGGAAGAGGTGGAAGATGAGTGGAGGACCCGCTGCTCTGCTGAAGATGCATTATGAACCCGGCTCTTGCATCCGGGTCACAGCTGGTATCACGCGTTCGCACATGCGCGCATTCAATTCATTATATATTTACATTTAAATGCGCTGTGTGTGCACGTGTGTGTGTGTGTGTTGGGATGGTGAGCGGTGGCCGTAGTGGTTAGCGCACTGCGCTACGAACTCGGCGTCCTGAGTTTGATTTCCCTGCCACGGCCAACATGGGCCGCGATGTTACCGAGTGAATATAAAAACGGCTCAAGAGCCTCTCCTTTGGTCCGCTCGGCCCTAAATGAGTATTTGGTACGGTGTGCGGGAAAACATGGGCACCGGGGAGACAAAGGCGGCCGGGCCTGAATCTGGCCACACCGCCTCGCTTCCTCCGTTGTTAGTTACGCCGGCCGTCATAGGTGCTCGCTGGCAAGTGTTTGTCCCAACAGCCTTGGACAAGGCGGCTGCACTGGCGATCTTTGTTTTTGTGTTGTGCATGTTGATATGTGGCAAGGTGCACCTAGGCTGGCACAAACGCCGCGGTGATGTCACCGCCGCTCAGTGGCGAACTGTGGTTGTTGTTTTGTGTGTAGACGTCTTCGTGTCAGATGTGCGGTGTCTTAGGTGAAGTGTGCGATGCGTATGTTTTGTTTGTAGATTATGTGCTTATGTGCGCGTTCTCTCACCAGTATGCATATATTTTATTCGTGTTTATGCGTGTTTGGGGAGGAGCGGTGGCGATTGGTTAGCGCACCACGCTATAAAGCCGGCGACCCGAGTTCAATTCCCGGCCAAGGCTGAACATCAATGGCGGGTGATATCTGAATCGGTCCACCCTCCTCCTTCACTTTACCAGCGTGGTGAAGTATGTTCAAACAACTCCCATGACCAACACTGCAAATGGAGCTCGGCCATCATCCAGCAGTTATGTTGAATTTCTTTCGCACCGTACACAGCCAACCCGTGCTGATCGGAGGTGCGGGAATTTCACAAAGGGCTGCAATTGTGTCCACGTGTTGGTGTGGAAAATAGAATCTGGTGGAGCGGTGGAAGTAGGGGGGGGGGGTGGTGGTTGTCTCGATCCATGATGCTTCCTGGGTTGACATTTAAAGAATTGTACTACTGTGTGGGTAAGTCAACGGTGGATGGACTCGCGCCCGTCATAGGAATCTGACATTGCCAGCACCGCCTCGTGCTTGTAAACGGGAGATGCGTGTCCGCCCGTGGGGAAAATGTATGCGCAGGACGTAACTTTGACTTTGCGTCATGTTAATTTAAGGTAATATGCGCACCTGTTTGGTGTGTATCAGTCTCATGTTAACGGCACTGTTAATGATGAGTTAATGAGTTAATGATGACGTCACCCTGCTGCTGCTCTATATAAGAACGGGAGACACAGCAGAGCCTCACCATTCTGGCGAATTGCCCGATGATGCTGGATGCAATTACCAGCGAAACGTCGTGCTACTCAAATTGTAAATTGTTGTGGTTTCATGCTTCAACACACCGGTGGGCTAAAGCAGTGAACTATTTGTCTTTTGTCAACGTGACACTTTTTTACTGATTGGCCGTGTCGGGTGGTGGAGGGTTACGACACATTTATAAATAACGCGATCTAAACCCAAAAACGTTGATCATGAATTCACTGTTAATCTTCTTATCTATCGCGCGTTAAGTACACAGGTCGATAGATCATCCCGCGCAATGAGTTGATGCCAACGCATCATCTCTACATAACAAAGAGGCTCAGTCCCTTTTACACGCACCTTTACTTACATCAGCCGCACCTAGTTTACACAACAAAGACTCATTCCTAACAGCGTGCTTCAGTCGCACCGAACCTCACAAAAATAATATTCAGGGCCTACCTTGGCTCCTCCCACCCTCAACCAGTATATTTACAAGGACTGTTATCTTAGAATTTCTCTCACTTGATACAGCTACCGTGCTGTGACGGTTCCACCTGAAGACGGAAGCTTGTGTTGCCTCCGAAACGTCGTGATTTTTTATATTATTAATTTTAATTTTTTACCTACGTGACTTTACCGAAAAAAACCTAAGAATTTGATGCCAACGCACACTCGCCAACCCCTTACATTTTTCAGATCCCTCAGCCACTGCAACAACACCCGGCTTCCGAGGTCCGCTCTTACAGCCTTGTCACCGCCACCATTTCTGGCTTTAGGTCTTACAATATTTTAGTCTTCAGCGGCCACCAAGTCTCATCACCAAGACCTGGCTTTAATTCTAGATTTGAAGCTTTCGTGACTGCAAGGATTCATATTCTTAGTTTTTTCGGTAAAGTTACGTAGGTAAAAAAAATAAAATGAATAAAAGTAAAATCAAGTAAAGTACTTGATACAGCTATCGTGGCTGTGACGGTTCCACCTGAAGACAGAAGCTTGTGTTGCCTCCGAAACGTCGTGATTTTTATTTGATTAATTTTAATTTTTTTACCTACGTGACTTTACCGAAAAAACCTAAGAATATGAAACCTGGCTTTAAGCTTCACCGATCTCCGGCTGCCACTCCAATGCCAGTCTCTGTTAGGTGCCCTCCTCCTCGACCCAAAACACCACGTGTCCCACCCACCGCAACCCCCTTTCGCCGATTATGGACAACGGTACAGAACAAAGCGTTGGTGCCAGCTGAAGTTGGCAATACTTTATTCCTCCCGATTTATTTGCATTACCAATTTGAAGTGAATTATGTGATAATCCACCCGCCTGGAAGAATTTTACATCATTCAGTTTTGGACGTGGCAATATTAGTAGTTTGCATTGAGTATATATCATCTGCGATATTAAACACGTACTCTAACGCCGAAGGAACGAAGTCTGATAAGTGCGCCAAGGAGCATGGAGAGATTCACGCTTGGAATTCGATAGAGACAGAGGAACACCATGGAGAGAACATATGCAAATTAACTTAAGTAATTGGGTTTGGGCAATGTCTGTCGCTGGAAAGGGATGATAGTGGTCGAGAATAATGACGTGGCAGCCAAATGAGGCAATGCTATGGAGAGGATCAGAATCAGTATTTATCCTGGAGGAATTCAATGAGCCATGGAGCTGTTTTTTTTACAGTATATACACCCTGGAGATGGAGCCATGAAATCAGAGGCGTGGGGATTTCGAGAATTTGCTCATTGTTTCAACCGCCGGGAGACAAGACTCGAACCAGCGACCTCTGGCTTCCAAATCTCGTGCGATAATCGCAACACCAAAGCAAAAATCCCTTGTATGTTTATTTCGCTGCTGCGCTTATCTTGTGTTCATTTCACTGTTCATTTAACAAAGCTGACTTCACCGTCTCCCCATCCTTTGTCTTCATCTCTCGCACTCCCATCCCCCACAATATCACTCCACACCACACACCTGCGCTTGTTTATAAAGAGAGGGGGGGGGGGAAAACCTAGAGGGCATAGCAAATCAGTTTCCCTGGGGGTCTGTGTCTGTGTGCGAACGTGTGTCTGCCTTTTCTCATTTGCCGAAATAATGAATCTAGATTAAAACAGAGCAGAGCGTTGGCAAGTCGGCGATTCTACCCTCTCCACACATACAGTTTCGTCCATCAACATAAAGGCTTACCAGACCAATATCCCTTAGCAGCAATATTATAAAGGCTTAAGAAAACAAAATGGACCGGTTTAGACCCCAGCAGAAAATGCGTTGCTGTATATCAAAACTAATGTATTATTCTTTTGTCAGGCTTTTAAAACAAATGCTGCCGTATCACAGGGTATTGCCAAGAGCATTCCACGTAAAATATGGGACCCGGTTCGCCACAGAAAGCAAATACTCCACGGCGCTTGTGTTCGGCGACTGCCGAATGCGCGGCTCGCGTTTAGCAATAAAGGGCAACTGAAATAAACTATCTATATATATAAAATCGCAAATCTGTCTGTCTGTGTGTGTGTCTGTGTATCGGACCATACGCAGTTTCATTGGACGAAATGTCAGGGATTTGCGAGACACGATTGGTCCGGCGGTTGCCCCTGGCAACGGGTAGCGACGCATTCGCTGCGGGGTGGACGCCATTTTTTTATTACCGTTAAAAATATGCGCATGCATTAACACGCGACTCTGAGGTAAATTCATCAAAGTTTCACGTCCTCTTCACTCTCCCCCCCACCACAATGTGTGCAATTACTATTATAGGGTCGGTAGATAATAAAATTATAGCGATTAGACAGTATTATTGTAGCGCGGGGGGGGGGGAACGGCACCCGTACCCAGCCTCAGCCGGGTGGGCAATTTAGGCGAGGCCGGAGGCTCTGCACGGTACTAGGCCTCGACACCCACCACGCGACTCGAGGTAAATTCTTCAAAGTTTCACGTACTCTTCACTCCCCCGCCACCCCAATGTGTGCAATTACTATTATAGGGTCGGTAGATAATACAATTATAGCGATTACACAGTATTATTGTAGCGCGGGGGGGGGGGGGGGACGGCACCCGTACCCAGCCTCAGCCGGGTGGGCAATTTAGGCGAGGCCGGAGGCTCTGCACGGTACTAGGCCTCGACACCCCACCACACTATAGGCCGTACATATTACTACACAGCGGCCGAGGAGATCGTGGCTGGGGGGGGGGGGGGGGGGGCAGGGGTAGCAGCCCATCTGTGTATATATGTAAGGTTATTAAGAAATATATTTTTCACCCGGGCAACGCTGGGTACTTATGCTAGTTGTTAATAAAGGTGTGAGTACCGTAATGCATTTAAAAAGGCTGCGAACATAGTCTATTAAATGAGCCTCAACGTTATTAAGGAGAATTCGATTGTACAGAGAATGACGCAAACGAGGATAATGGGTGCCTGCGGCACCGTCTGGTACATTTAACGCACCGTGAAAAATGTTATAGTCGTATTGGGTAGGGAAGATGACACCTATAGTATGTTCACAGGTTACAATACGGTTTCGATTTTACAGGCAACGTTTACGTTTGACAACATCTTCATACTGCTGCTCAGAGAAGGCAGGGTGGGGCTGAGGGGGCCAGAGCACCGAGCTTGGCACTGCCGAGATTCCTGGATCCAAATCCA